TTCGCCCCCCCCAAAAAAAAAAACTCAATGCTGAAAAAATGGGCAATAGCGGGTTTCGCGCGACACGATTCATATGCCTTTAGATCTTGATGGGTTCTTCCTTGTCGCAGCGATGGCAACCCCGTGATCGTCTGAACCCCGACAGGCTGCTTGTGTTAATTAGGTGTCTTTGATTTTGTAAGTGGTTAAAAATGACTCGGCGCTCCGAAAGCCACGTTGGTTTGCCGCACAGCGCTGAAAGATGAAGACGAACGAGTGTGTGGAGCTTAAATTGTTTTTCATCTTAAATCGAGACACGAGAATTTCGTGAAGAATTTATAGGAAATAATTATTAAGAAAGAGTCGACGGAATTTGTTGGTGAATACAATATGGGCTGTACAGCCTCTTAAGGCAGCGACCGATACTGTGCGATGGTAATTACAGTTAATGAGTGAAAATCACTCAAATTGATACATTTTTAGAGTCATATTCGTGATTTAAACCAATCAAATCAATTTTCAATAACGCAACGTAACGAAGCGTCGGACTCGAAATTAGTTAAGTATGCTTTATTCGGACTTACTTCGCTATGTGCGAAAATGTACGTATTGAAGGTACGCTTTTTAAACTGCTCTACCGTAATCCAAAAATCTCACGTTTTTTCTCACTTCTTTTCTGTTTCAGGAAAAAGTTTTTCTTTAAACATTGTGATAAGTTCTTCGCCATTCCAAATAGCATCGTACAATAAAGCAATTAAAGTTACGGTTGATGGACCTAGGGAGCCTCGCTCTAAATCAAGTGAGTATTCGTCCATTCTTACGTCTCTCTTCTTTGTGATTCTTCTCCCATAGGAATGTGCAATTCGGCCATGGAAAATGAAGACTTGCACAATTATGAACTTCACGCATTACGGATTATCTAACCCATGTTTGCTAAACATAATTATTAAGACTCGTTAATAGTTTACCTTAGAACCTTGATCGATGAAAGATATTGCACTTTGGCTTAATCTAATGAAATAAAATCGAATATACAGGATTAGAGCCGATCCGCGCCTTCGGAAATTGCATAATTTTAATCCAACGTTTTATTGTCTAACGGAGAGGCAGTTTTCTGGAAAAACAAAAAAAAGCTATATCAGTACAAACAAAAACGAACTCAGAGCGCGGGCTCCTTGGCATGTTCCGGAAGCAAAACACCACCAAGATCGAACTTTTAAGCCACGCGGATTTAAAAGCTCTCTGATCCTGGAGTGATCGTCTGGTGCGTTATCATGTGAAACTCCCACGGAGGCCGCAGGTCAGAGCCTGAGAAATTGAGGTAAAATGAAGAGCTAAAAATATCGACCATTTAATTAGAACGAAAGGCGGAAACAGGAAAGCTCCGGAAAGGGGGGGGGCAGGTCGAGAAAAGCTGAAATTCGATCATAAAGACAAAGGTTAACAACTGGAGTGGTCCTGCACACAAAAGTATTTTTAGGCGTGTGGTGTGTGCTGAATAATTAGAAGAGATGGGGAAGGGGGAGGGGGGAGGGGAGGAGGAGAAAGAGAGGAAAGCGGGAGCGGATGGACCGAGGGTGGAAAAGTCGGGGCGAAATCAAAATGTAAAAAATCCGTCCAAACAGAGATAAAAAAAGAGTACTTATCGAGAGTAAATCTGTAGGTGTATATGTACATTTTTAACACGTGAAGAGGAAAAAGGTGGAAGTGTTGGGCACGATAATAAGACCGGGTCGCCATGGCAACGGGCAAGCACAAGCACAGTGGCCGTCCTCTGAATCCCGCGAACGCAGCGTCCGCTGATTACAGTTGGACCCGTTTAGGCTGAAAGGGACTACGTGCATAGGGTTTGCGTGGCGGATAGTCGCTTTTAGCACGAATGCGTCCAGTTAGCCGCTTTTGATAAAAACACTATTCAGATCCCATAGACTTTTACAGAGCTAATGTCGACCAAGGGTCGGGCGCGGCCACCCGCGATGGGGGGGGGCGGGGGGAGGGGGGGCCTCTTTAGACCCTCCGACGAATAATACAGCTTTTTATTCTCCCGGCTTAGTACGAACTTTTTACGGTATTTATTTTCTTTTTGCTCTTAATTAAAAATGAATCAGTCGGAAAATAAAAACTGCGTCCGGGTTTCGGATCCGTCCGCTGTGTTTGCCTACTCGAGTACCCCCTCGCCCCCCCCCCTCCCCCGCTCGGACCTGACCCTCTTGAGCATCTTGCGAGCGGTGTTGGATCGCCATTCCGAAAGATTTAACGGACACAAAATAACGAGTGCCCCCACTTTCCCCGGCTAAAGCTCTCGCGCTAAATCCTCCAGATTCCGCCGATTGGCTCGGCCGCTTATACTGTGGAAGGGCTTGGTTTAAGGAGAGTTTAATTGGATGGGTTTAAATTGACGTTGCGTGCACATGCTGGGAAAGCCTATGACCACTCTCCTCTGAGCGCTCCGAAGAAAAAATAAAGTTCATGGATAAAATAACATTAACAGGGCCTGATGCTTTCCGATGGCTACAACTTAGGAACGGCACATTCATTCTGAATTTGTATGACGTGGCAGGGTATCTCACGGTCAATTCTTCCCGATAAAATTTCATTACGATCGGTATTTTAAGAGCAAAAACCACCGTCAACTCCCACGTGAATACTTTTAGCCCCCGGTGTCAAAACCGTGATCCACTGAGTTTACGGCTTCTATGTATGAATTATTTTCCGTTGATACTGTGGGCGTAAGTAGAGGAGGAGGAGGATGGCAGAGTTGATTTTTTCTTTCAATTTTCTAACTTGCGTTGTAACCCACGAACAAAGAATTTATGGGTGTTGTCTGGTTTTATCGAATTTGCTAATTTCCTTCGCGCTCAGTTTTAAGACTTTCAAAACTTAATTTCTGAGGCGTCACTTTAATATCATTTTAAGGTGCTTCAATTATTTTGTGTTGGGAGAGACAAAACAACGTACATGCAAAACAACAGGATGTAATAGGATATAAGTACCATCATATGAATGCTATTAAACGTTATGAACACACATCAAATAAATGGATTGCATTTTGCAAAAAGGAACCACTAGCATTGCAACGATGCTAAGATTGTGCAACTTCATCTTTTGCAATAAAATTGCGGAAATCGTGATAAACTATGAAATTTAGATGGTAATTTTTGTCTTAAATTTACAGTTTTTAGCGAGTAAAATAGAAACTATTAATGGATAATCGGGTTTTTCCTCCAAGACAACAGAAGTTGCACAATCTTAGCAACATTGCAATGCTAGTGGTTTCCTTTTTGTAAAATGCAATCCAAATGTAAAGGTAATAAATTTTTGCGGGAACTTGTCTCGAGTGTTACTGCTCCTTTCGGTGACAAGGCAGTACGGAGTTCTTGAGGAATCGAAATATTGACAACGTTGGGCCCTAAGGCCATATCCACCCCGCGGTAGACATCCCGTGTTTACGCGGGCGAGGTCGGTTTGACGCTCGAGCCGTAAACAGGGCGCGCGGGGTCTCCGGCCGCGGGCCGACGCGTAAACAGTCGGATTTTCAAAAGCTCGGCCCGGTTCATCTTGGGTCGTCGCTGTCGTCAGACGCCGAATCCGGACTCCGGATTGGACCCCAACATACAGGGTTATTCAAAAGTCACGCACCACTGGTCATAACTTCAGTTCTAATTATTATGCTATCGATATGCGGTTTAAGACGCTTTTCCTCATACCGAGGGGGAACTTTTTCAGGTACTTTCCAGTTTTTGATCCCCTCGGGGGGAGAGGTGCGGGGGACAACTCAAACATTTCAAATAGCCATTCCCCCTCATGGCCAGTGGTGCGTGACTTTTGAATAACCCTGTATATAGGCGCCCCGCAACTCTATCGTGATGCTAAGAAAGAACGCCGCATGAGCTTTCAGACGCTGCCTTCTTTTCGTCATTAAAAAGCGAATTTACTTGGAAAATTGTGAATATTTTTCGTCGAATTTTTTACACAATTTCTCACGCAATTTAACGTAAAATATCGAAAATTTTCGAGGGAAAAATGCATACCTTCCTCCGAAAATATGTGTTTTCATCCGGGGAAATTTGGCAAATATCAAATGTTCATGGGGCGTTTTTCCTGAGAACGGCAGAATTGGCGGTAGGCCGGCCACGCGGAGTAGAAGAGTTGCGACCCACACTGGGTCATATACCAACATTGCCGGATTTCAACCGGCCAAAACCAAAAGGTGACTCAAAGATTAGGATGGTACGGGCATGTGTGGTTTTTCAATAGAAGCAAATCGGCCTTTGAATGCTCATACGGCATTTGGACGCGTTTAGCAGAAAGGATCCAAGCCACAGCACCTATTGCCAAAAACTGAGCAATTCAGTTTTGTTACGAGAGAACGTTAAGGCGGTTTTTGTTTAAAATTTTAAGAAATTTGCCTCGTAATTTGCAGAAAATTCAAGGAATTTGCAAAAAGATCTTTACAGCCGTTTTCATGTAAAAAATTATAAATTGCACGATTAAATTTGGCAACATCGGATGTAGCTTGGTTCCTTCGAGCTTAACGCGGTCCATTTTTCCTTGGCACATCAGAATGAAAACCAATCATCAAAGTTCTTCATTCGCACTCCGCTTTTGAATGGCAACAACGTCGTATGATATAACAATACGCGAGCATTAAAAAGTTATGCTCGAGCAGAGGAGGGAAAGTTTGTTTACGTTTCGGAGATTCCATGGCCGGGTGTCGGCATTCCTTTGGAAATGCGTGGGATGTAAACACGCGTGTTTTACGGTTACAGTGCGCCGTTCAACACTTGTCTCAAACCATACCACCTCTTAAAATTATGACGGTTTTACGAGACCACCCACCCGCGACCCTGCGTGCTCCCCGGGATTTTTCACATTTTTGCGTTTTCGGAAGCTCGCAGCGACGTCGGAGGTGCGGCAATTACGACGTAAACTTCCCGTCAATCAAAATACCGAAACGCTGAATCCTCCGGTATTACCTAAATAATTGGCTAGCAGTTTGGCTACTGCCATTCCGACGCTAAAAGCGCCAGCTTGTACCTCAAATTACTATGAAACAAATTTCCTGTCGCGTCATTAGAACTCGTGAGCGAAAGTTAGGCGTTATTATTTCGGAAAAATATGTTCAGAAATTACTTTCCTCTCTTGTTCGTGGTATTTTATAATTTTAGTTGAATTCACTGGAAAAAAACACATTTGATCTAGAGTCCAAACTCTTGAAAATATTGACAAGAAAAAATACTCTTGATTTAATCGGATTATTGCTTGAATCAAAACGAAATCCGCTTAAATTAAGAGGCTTGGTTCTTGATTTAAGCTAGATTCTGATTGAATCAAGAGTACTTTTTCTTGTCGATGTTTTTAAGAGTCTGGACTCTAGATCCAATGTGTTTTTTGATATGTGTTTAATGATATTGATTCCTTGCAGAAAGTGAAATACGAATACAATTTCGGGAGACAGAAACAGCGAAATGGATATGTTTTCGGGAGAGAGAATGCATACGTTTTATTGAACTTAGGGCCTTGTGAACTGAATTACTACAGTCGCGACAGCAAAAAACTAAAAATATATCGTTTTCAGGTCGGTAACCACATAAGTAGTATGTGAAAGAACCATCTTCGAAGGTTCAGACGGAAAGTAAAAGAGATGTCATTCACCTGTATTCATTTTACCAACATTTTGAAAAGTGGCGAAGCTCTGACAAAGTATCCAACAGTTTTCTAGGGGAGAAAACTGTGCTCGAATGAGCTTTGTCCCTCTAAAATGAGAATTTCAGTTTCATGCTGAATTTTGAAATGCGTCGGCGAAATCACTAACTCTATAAAAACGACTCGTGAGTCGTAGCGCTATCTGTTTTGTTGATTCAACTAGCTTTCGAGTACTTTAAAGGCGTATTTAAATCAAAAGGAGCTGTGTCCACTGAGGCCTGGCAAGTAAGACTAACGAACCCAACATAACATGGAAATAGAACGAAGGAAATGATGACGGCGCTGAGATACAACTATTCGTGCTTAACGGACGTCCGTGTTGCGTTTGCAAAATTGAAGGCGCGATTGCGTGCGGCGTGAACTCGCAACGCTCCGCTCTAAGCTGCATGAGGTGCCGCTCGCATTTGGCCCTGAGACTCAAGAAAAAACATGCACGACAGGGTCCAAGTAACGATTGAGGCAGTTCATTTTGCATTAGATACGTTCAATTCTGAACGAAATTGTGCCATTAATAATCTCTGTTTCTGATTCTTCCATAAAATCACCTATCTTCGTGAGGAAAATAGGGGCAAATACACCGGAAAAGTCACTTGGATCTAGGGTTCAGACTCTTAAAAAATTGTAAAAGATACAGTACTCTTGATTCCATGGGATTTTTGCTTGAATCAAGAGCCAAGCATCTTAATCGAAGCGAATTTCCTCTTGTTAAAGCAAAAGTCCGATTGAATCAACGGTACTTTTTCTCGTCAAATCCATTCTAAAGTTACAAAAATGATTCAATCAATTCGATTTTTTACCGAAATAAATCTGCATTATTTTCATCGAAAAGTCGGATTTTTGCATGAGATTAGAGGCACCTTTATTTAATTTCTTAGTTAGACATTCTGAAAATTCCCCTGGTAAAAATGCAATCTGCTCGGAAAAAGCTGGCAACATTAGAATAAAGTTATGTTCTTCCGTGAAAGAAATGAAGACATTTCTTAAGAGTCTTGACTTCTGGATCCAAGATACTCTTTTTTCCAGTGTATTGTTTCTAAAATAAGCCCGAGTTAGTAATTCCTCTGCGCAAAATATATTTCCTTCGACATGGGCGCATATAGTGAATCGCGATCTCGAGGGGGGTGAGTCTGAATGGCTCTCACCGCGAGTTCATTGGCGACCGAATTTCGGTCACCTCTTTTTCTCAGCTCCTTTGAGAGTCAGCCAAGCGACAACGACGTCGGGCACTGGGGTATGGAAATGATTTCGGGTTGACCAAAAAATACAAGTCAAAAGCTTGAGGTCGGCTCCCCTCAACCGGTTCCGACCCGGGGGGCTGGTGCCGGAGGTAAACCAAGGCGCTAAACATCATGGTGAGTGCTCCTCTCTTAAGGTCAAAACCGCAGAAGTCCAGTCGAAACCCGATAGACATAGGTGGTTTACACCTAGCCAACTCGCGGGGCTTTCTTTTAATGCGCAATGACAATTATTCAATTCGGCGATCGTTCCAAAGGGTTAGCATGTGTTCAAATCCCCCCTTTTGATTTATAAGACACGACTCGACGCTCGCTGGCGAAAGAACGTAACTCCACTTCTACGCGAACCATAAATAGCGTGCGTTAGGACTCATCTTGATTTCCAGTTACGTCTTTTTGCCGGGCCGAGGTTGAACCACTCTTATTCAATGCCATTCAATTCAGCGCAAAGATGGATGCCCCAATGCGTGGTTGTCAGCTGATCTGATTTTACAACTTTATCTGGTTTGAGTATTGATGTAGCTCGTTAGTTTGTGCGCAATTAACGGCAACCGCCTCTGTTCGACTAGTGAATAAATCTTCTGCCATGAATTCATGCTCATCCGTCCGGCACTGTTGCAGTTGAGGGGATTTTTGTAGACAGGCGTATGTGCCCTGGGGATTCTTCATCACATATGTCTTTTTTTGAATGAGCAACGTGCAGTTACAGGGTAACCAGCCCCACCAGTGATGTTAGCTTACGCGTCATCACAGAATTCAGCTGTGATTTGTATTGCCTCGCTTAAAAATTATGCAATTTTTAAGAGGCACGGAAACAGATTGTTTTCAAAATTTTCATCAGTATTTTTTGGATTGATAAGCTAACAAGAAAAAAGGTAACTGAAATAGTTGTGAAGCATCAAATCAGGTTTTGGGAGATTATTGAAAATAACGCTGGACATCATGAATTGGAATACTTTTGATACAGTGAATGTAGCTGATATGTTTCGGAGATGGTTTTGGATAATGGTGCCTCTAAACCAAATTGTTTGTTTGCTTTGTTTCAGATTTTCAATATTTACCTGGACAGCATCCAGGTTTTAGTCCTTTTTCAATGTTACCTAGTCAATGGTTAGATGCAGCTTACATGAGTTACTGGCCTGAATATTTTAGACAACCTTCATCTCAACAATTGTGCAAACTTGCTGCTTTATGTCCTAAAGGTGAGTCAATCATATCGATTTTTAATGCTCCATCAAAATTTTTATTGTACATATTCATTGCAAAGATATTTAACTAAGGGTAGTACATTGAATGCGGGACAGCGTGATCAATTCCCAGAACAAGTGATGCAGTTATATCACTGATCTGTGTACAAAAATAAACCTTACACCTACCAAAATGCGAAAGATATAATTTCCCAGTCATTTCTTTTCAATCTATAAGTATTGCGAGGCAACAATTAATTTTGATGCAAAATTTTCATTCATCCAAAGAAAATAAAAAGAAAGAAAAATTTAAACAAAAACTAATTTCTAACGATATCCATACCAACCTGCTGCTAGATTCGATAATCTCACTCTTCCATTTTTCGAATATAAACGAACTGTGAGCGTATCATAAAACAGTCGCTATGCTGCGTAAGTCACATATTCCCTAGGCCATGCGCCGCCCAGGAAACTTGCGCTCATTATACTGCCAACGCCAGCACCACAGTTCCAAGATGGGGAAGCTTGAGAAGAATCGAAACGGGGTGGGCCCATGACGATAACCCGCGGGACTCAGCATCTGCCCTGTTGTAAAAGCTCACTAAATTAACAATCCCCCTCACTGTCAGTAAAAAAGGGATTTTTCACTAATAATCTTGCAACGTTGGTCAAACACACCACGCGACGGCAGGCCTCTAATCGCAAATTGAATAAAGCTCAACCAACTTTGCCAAATCGTCAGGAGGGGCATTTGATCACACGAAAAATGGTCGGTGCTGATAATCGAACTTTCTGTTCCTGTTCACAAAGCTCCCGAGCTTTCATTACTATGGTTACAGAACATTTCTATTGCGAGAACGGAATCTCGGTCGTGATCAACAGAAACGACGGTTCACAGGAGAAACGATTTATTTCTGATACTAGCAGAAACTTCTGTGATTGTCACAAATTAAGTTCGGAAGCCCTTTAATGGGAGTACGTTATCGGGACCAACTATTTTTTCGTGTGAGTTTTAATGCTTCGGTAGTGGATAGGTAAATAAGAAATCCAGCACATTAGAGAACGACTCGATGGTCAATTTTAGTAAAGACCAGTCAGGAAGGCAACTGACGCCTTGATAGTACTTTTGAATCCTTAATAGAAAATGAGGGAGCTTTTCCCGCACAAGTCACGTAGTTAAAACGTTTTGAAACAATTATTGACTCACTTGCGACGAATTTTTCTTTTGGCACAGACGAGTTTCGAGCTAAGTGCGGCTCATCATAGGCCCAAAATTCAGCGAGTCAGTAATTTATTTTAAAACATCTTAACTATCGAATCCTCGGATTGGAAACTACGAATAAGTCTAAACTAGGAAACTAGGATTGCACTGGAAAAAAACACATTGGATCTAGAGTCCAGACTTTAAAAACCATCGACAAGAAAAAATACTCTTGATTCAATCAGAATCTAGCTTAAATCAAGAACCAAGACTCTCAATTTAAGCGGATTTCGTTATGATTCAAGCAAAAATCCGATTGAACCAAGAGTATTTTCTCTTGTCAATGTTTTCAAGAGTCAGGACTCTAGATCTAATGTGTTTTTTTTTCCAGTGTGGAATACGTTAGGAGCAAAAATGTTTTCAATCTCACGGATCACTCCACTGTAGATGGTCGAAAGAATCGCGGTAATATTTGGCGATGTGGCAAGGAGGGGCGCCACCCCGGAGCGGGCGCGGTGGCGACGGCGGCGGATCCCGGCTCACCACGACGAGGCCAAGAATCCCCCAAAGTGAGGGCACCGTAGGGTTGACCGCCATCTTTACTCCCATTGTATGAGTCAGCACTAATTGGCACCCCTTGCTTTGCCGAGGGTAGCCACCCCTCCCGGCGGCGCGTCCCAACCCCTCGGCGGCGCGGCATTTATTCATACAGCCGGGAATCATGCTTCGTGCGAGCCCCTCGACTCGGAACTAGGTATCTAGGTGAAATGATACGCCGCGCCCGGAGCGGCAGGAACCGCGCATAGGCTCCGGGGTTTCGATTGGAGATGCGCGGTTTTGCCCCGGCGAGGGTGCGCGTCTTGCATGAGTGCATCCCTGGCCGCGTAATGGCCTCGCTTCCATTTGCACTCCCGTCGGCGTCGGGGCGTGGAGACCCGGCCCGGCCCCTTTCCATCAGTCGCCGCGGATTACATTATACTTATTAAAATTCGAGCCGAGCCTTTGAGTGCCAACAAATTACGCGCCGAGGCCAGGCAACTTTTGAAAGCAGCTGGTCACGGATCAGGTGGAAACTTTCTTCCTTGCTCCGCCCTTGGTTTCGGCGAACGATGTGAGCTGTAGATTCTGCTCCGATGCACGTGCAGTAAAGCCTAGGGGATTTCGGCAGTTATCATTATCCCAGGGTCCTCTCTGCGAAAGCGCTTTTCTTTTGAGAGTCCCGAGCGGTTGAAATTATTAGTCGGACATATTTAAATTGCCACTCGACGAAGTGACAGTTCTATTTGGAGCGCAATTCATTCAACCAACACTGGAAAAAAACACATTGGATCTAGAGTCCAAACTCTTAAAAACATCGACAAGAAAAAATACTCTTGATTCAATCGGAGTTTTGCCTAAATCAAGAACCAAGCCTCTTAATTTGAGCGGATTTCCTTTTGATTTAAGCAAAAATCTGATTGAATCAAGAGTATTTTTTCTTGTCAATGTTTTCAAGAGTCTGGACTCTAGATCGAAAGTGTTAGTTTTTCCAGTGAATGTAAAGATTGGAGTGTTTTGCCAGCACAAAAACTAAGAAACGGCAAGGAAAAAGCATTTCAGATTTAAAATATTGCGCTTTACACGGCTAGAATTTGTATGTTTGTATCTGGTGTATTTTAGTTTTTGGAATGACGTACACATCAACCGCCAAAAAAACCCACTTACAAAGTTTTCAGTTCAATTTTACACGTAGTTCTTCAAAATTGTCGCGTCTCAGATTCTTAGTCAAAAGCCTCTTTTAAAGTTGCTCATTGAAATTCATACGGGTCTATTCAGAGAACTTTTACCGAGACTTTGACCACGGTCCAGAAAATCCAACACGAAAAAGAGTATGATGAAATTAACTATAGGCCTGGGTGGTTCTGCAAAGCAAGAAAAAGTAACCAAAATTTTGTGGTAATATAGGAAGTAAAACTCGAAGTAACACAAGCTGTTGGTTGATTTTGTTTGTGTCAGTTTTTCCTGTATCAAATCGACCAAATCTTTGGGATGAAGGGGCCAAATCTGTGTGTTGAAAATCTTTGACCTCGTTAAAAAGTAATCGCAAGCCTGCGTGATCAAACCTGGATCACATTGGTGATAGTCCAGTGCGCTTACTGTTCGGAGGTCAAGACCTTTTGATTACAGAGTGGAAAACATAGAGTAAATAAGTTCGGCAGGACACTTTCGACATGATCCGATGTCTCGGAGTACCTAATCTACGGTTTGAGTCGGTGTGTTGAGCAACCTAGTCCTTTAAATGGACCCGACACACAAAAAAGGTAACTCAAAGTAACACAGAGTGACATTAAACACGGGAATGTTTAACTGTATGGCGCTAGCTACAAGTGTAGTTGCACTAGCCAGAGATATGGTTGATTCGAACAGAATTCTGGCTGACCGAACTATACACCTTTGGCTGAAACGGCTACACTTCTAGATGGCGCCATAATCAGCCCGGATTACAGCTGAAATTCCTTCTCTTTTTTCCATGGAAATATCCTGCACCGAGAAGGTGTCATTCGTCACCCCCATGACGAGTTAGCGATCTCTCCCTTCTTGACGATTTAGCCTTTCGATATTCCAGCATGACGCTTTCAGGACACACGAAGACGATCGAATGAACGATGCACTTGAAATCAATACCGAAACATTAGTGTTGAAGGATCCTCACTCTTGCTTCCCCCGACACTTGATTAAATTTCATCATGTATTTTCGGGGCTGGTGTCAAAACACAGGAGTGGAACGCGGAGTAGGCGCGGGGTCGTGTTTAGACGGGGTGCGTCAACAACTCGCTTGATTTGAATCCGCCACACGGAGAGGCGCGAGCGGCGAGGAGTTGATTGTCACAACACGGAAATATGAGTGGCACCCGACGAAGTGGTTCGCGAACGGAAAACACGCCGTTAAGACCGGGATCAGGGTGTTTGGCCCCGAAACACCGAAACGGGAGAATTAGGCTCGCGCGAGGGCAGGAGCCCCCGAGATAATCCGATTTTAAGAGCCCACCCTCGACAATGCGCCGCGCGGGAAGTTTCAATTGATCCGCGATCCACCCTCCAGGCCTCTGTCTTTTTCTATCAAAGTGTACCTTTTTAAATCTCCCGGCAGCCCTTCATCTTCAACCCCCCGTGTTTATCGTGACGTTTCAGCCCCGCTTCCCAACCTACCTCATTTATGCCTTCGCCCCCTCCTCTCCGCCCTCCCCTACCGGGAGCGCGCGGATCAGCGTTTCCGCAAACTGGGCCCACCAAACCCAAATCTCTAGCTTTTAACAACTTCAATATTAACACATGCATAAATAACTCCACTCCGAGGGGTGGCTGTACCTCCCGCTTGCCGCGCAACCTCCGCAGAGTCGCCGAATTTCGGGGGGTTAAACTTGGGACGCCTTCGTGTCGTGCGGATCGACGGATTTCCGAAGCGTTGACACTCCCTGAAAAGATAATTTTGAAAATGATCATGCCTGGGTAAAACTAAGGGAGGAAATATTAATTTTGCAACTTTGACTTTTCGCATGGCGACCCCTGTAACATGGATCCTGGAGAATTTCGCAAAAATGTGACAACTTTTGGCGCAGGCAAAAGTGGGGGATCTGCTCACCACCGTTATCTCGATAAAAACATAAATTACAAAATTCAAATTAGGTGTTTCGCTTCATCGCTGTGCATTCAATTAAAACCGACGAAAAGGCGTTCATTGGATTCACTTAAAAGATCGTCCTTATGACATTTTGACGCATGGTTATATTTGTCACGAGTTTTTTGTCTCTTCACAAAAAAAATCTGAAAGAAAGTTAGCAGCACTTATAAGGTCTTCTATGCATTTCACAGAATCCTGGTTTAATTGTTCAACACTGGAAAAAAAACACATTGGATCTAGAGTCCAGACTCTTAAAAACATCGACAAGAAAAAGTACTCTTGATTCAATCAGAATCTAGCTTAAATCAAGAACCAAGCCTCTTAATTTAAGCTGATTTCGTTTTGATTCAAGCAAAAATCCGATTGAATCAAGAGTATTTTTTCTTGTCAATGTTCTCAAGAGTCTGGACCCTAGATCCAATGTGTTTTTTTTTCCCAGCGTAATCTCAGTAATGTGTGAGCTTAGAGGCGACGTCCAAAAATAATGTCATAAGACACTTCTTCCGATTGACGGACCTTATAACTTCGACCGATACATAGTAGGCACATTCTGGGCGTCTGTAGACCTGTTAAACTCCGTCCTCTTTTCCCACCTCTTCCTTTCCTTCTTCCTCTTTCCACCCACCTTCTAGCAGTATACGGTGCCTGGCCTCATTCACGTATGGTCCCGTATACAAAATCTTCACGCTCCCTGCGAAAGCTCGAATTTTCCTTGGAGACAGTTAACATCCAAAGACGTATAGACGTCCCGTATACAAAATCTTCACGCTCCCTGCGAAAGCTCAAATTTTCCTTAGAGACAGTTAACATCCAAAGACGTATGAACTAATAGGAAACATCATTTGTGTTTCAGGCGGAGCGATGACAGCCGGTGCTCTGACGAACCCAGCGGACATGTACATGGCCCCGCACGGGTTCCTGGCGGGCGGCGGGTACCCGACGAGCCTCCTCCACTTCCCCTCGCACCCGGCCGACCTCATCAACAGGACGACGTTACCCCACCACAACCTCATGCTCAACAAATCCCCGCACGAGCTGGACAAGCTCTCGCGGCCGCTCCTGGGGCACTACCCCGACCTGAGCAAGACTTCGCCGCGGATCACGGAGCTGAGCGTGTCCCCGCACGACATCAGTCAGAGGCATCGCAGCGTCTCCCCCAAGACGGCGGCGTCGGTCAGCGACGAGGACGCCGTCCGCAGCGAGGAGGACAGGTCGCAGAGTCCGCCCGGCGACCAGGTCAAGTCGGCCTTCCAGCAGGTCCGCGCGCTCAAGAAGTCGAGGAGTCCTCCTCCGATACCCTCCGGGTCGCCGCCGGCCAACACCACCGACACCCTCCTACCTTCCTCCGCCGGAAAAATCACCTCCAAAACGAATCATAATAAAGTCTCCGTCTGGAGGCCCTATTAGTTTTTAACCTATTCCGCGTCTTGTCATGCATCAGTCACGCGCGTCGTAGAACCTCTGTCAACCCACACTTCACTGGAAAAAAAAGAATCTTAAATTTGCCGCCAAGAAGTATTTCTTCTTAAATCAAGAATTTTGCGGGTTAATATAAACTACTTTTTTGCTTAATCCAAGCATTATTTTTCTTGAATCAAGAAAAAGTCACCTTAAAGCAAAATAAAGAAAATTCTTAGCGGCAAATTCAAGAATGATCATGCTTGCTCCAAGCTACTTTTTTTTCAGTATTCTGCGGCCTGATTGTTAAAATTTTGGTTCGTCGTGTGGACATGGATGACATAGGTTAAATAGCGAAGCGTGATTGGTCGGCTACGTCTTATCGCTGCTTTGTCGATTGGAATGGACGACAAACTAAAGGCACCTCTTGAGTTTCCGAAAGTATGTCGTCTATTCATATCGACAAAGCAGCGATAAGACAAAGCCGACCAATCAAGCTTCGCCATTTAACCATGTCATCCATGTCCACCCGACGAACACATATTCAAAAATCAGGCTGCTGATACAAGAACTAAACTTTCGTTCATATGGCACACTAAAATTTCCGGTTCACGTAATTGTAGTTTTTGGTCATAGTAATCATGAACTGGCTCAGCTGAGCCAAGTCCGCGGTAATATTATAAGTCCTGTTATTGCTAAGACTAACAATATTACTGGTCACATGAACCCAAGTTTGCTTTTTACAATGGCACAAAAACTTCGGTTACCTCGGCGGATTACTTTCCTATGCCATATGGACTGAAGTTTTGATCTTGATTTCCATCGATTTTTCAATCAAAAATCACAAACAGGGCAAGCCCTAAGCATCCATAACCTGCATTAATCGTTTCTTAAAAAGCAACATGTGTGACACAATTTGCGAAGCTATAGTGTTTAGCATGGTTCTTATACATTGACCACAGCATCTATCGATGAATGAAATTTACACTAGTTACTCTACATGCTTCACTCATGAAATCTACGTTTAAGAAATGATGCTTTATAGGGTGTTGAAAATTAAAACTGATACCATATTTTACGGCTGAGTTTTTCGTTAATGATAGACGTAGAAACTCAATGCTTAGGCAGATAATTGGGAAGTAACACTAATGAAGTTATCACAAGTTTAATATGTAAAAAATAATAATGTATAGGGCTCCCTTGCACTTTTTATTTTATTAAAATTGAACGCGTTTAAATTTAATAAAATCGAAAGTGCAAGTGAGCCCTATACATTATTATTTTTATTTAGATGATTTGGCGTTTGGCTGAATTGTAAGATATTATCATAAAGACAAGATTCTGCGGCGTGCGGGACTGACCGATTCTCATTCTGGAGATTTTATGTGCAATTCTTTTTAAAAGAAACGTTACTTTGTGATCGTGTACAGTATAACCTTGTTTAGTTTAAAAATGTGTACATTTCTGAAGATTTCTTGGATTCTCTTTGTTTCTGTTTAATTTGGTTTCCTCCTATTTATTTTGGGTTGATCTCGATAATCTTTTCAGAGTTTTGAATGTAAAACTAAAGGTATGACTGAGAGAGGTTATTTATCCGGAAAAAGAGTGGAATAAAAGAAAAAGTTAAATTTCCAAGCCTTTGAGGGAACAATGTCAAGAAGGTTAGATTTTTCATCACTTCTTTTTTCCACTTTTGAAAATATACAAAAATAAAGAAATTGAAATAAATTGAAATACAACAAAAAAACTCTTAAAAGAAAGCTGGATTACAATGTTTTCAAAATACGTCATCTTCATCTAAAAAACAAAGGCCTAGAAAAGCAAATAGTGTTTGTTCTTCTACTAAAAAATAGTTAATTTCAAAGGAAAATGATCATGTGAATTCCATTGCTGTGCATATTTTAGTATTTTTTAAAGCAAAGAAGAAGTTGTAAAACTTTAAAAACATCATAGTCCAGCTGGTTTCCTTCCGTTAAAGACGATTCATTTGAAGCTGTAATTTATTGTCATTCATTTAAGTTAGTCACTGTTTTAAAATTTTGTCCCCTCCATAAATTGCTTCAAGTTCTGCCTCGGTTAATTTTCAACTCTCCGTTGCACCATTTTAAGGGATTATTTTCAATGTGAATATTATGTACACTGATTGTAAATAAATCGACAAAGTAGATCAAACTTTCGTGAATGTAATATCAAGACTTCATCATAACATCGTTGTCTTTGAAATTAAGAGGAATTCCCAACAGTGATCGATTTCTGCAACCTGCGTGGCTAATGCGTAGGTATAAGGAATTATCCTATGGTCTCAAAAGTGTGCACCGGTAGTATTTTTAACTACATTGATTTAAGGCGGTTAAACTTGTACATCATGAATCTTTGACTTTGTTTAGCGTAAAGTCTCTGCACCTGACATTCTTCTTACATTGTTCAAAGTAACATTCGATTGAAATAATTTTTCTGTGTTACCAAAGACAGAAGTAAATCATGTATTATGAAAACAATGAATTCTCACATTCTCTGATTGAAACGTAAATTTAGGCGAAGAATTTACAACACGCGTGATGTCAATTCAAGACAATCGACTTAATTTTTTAATGAGGAACTATGATTTCCAGCTCATACATAAAATACATTTGCAGAGAAATTAATTCCACGTAAAATTTTTTCCAAAATTAGCCGGGAATGGTTGTTCTTCATTGCAAAATGTAGTTTAATTAGTGATGAACTGGATTAACGGTCGCTTAATCTTTCCTTTTAGAGTTGCCCTCTCCCGCCTTCGATGTTATTTCTGTAAAGAGTAAAACGATTCAAACGACTTTAATTCCAATAAAATGTCTACAATTTCCCTTCGGAAATGTCCTTGTTTATGTTTCAATCAAATAAAACGATACGACTGATTCATACGATACCAAAAAATAAATTAAGTCAGTGAGGGAATTTCGTCACCTCTCTCATCCTTTTGCGTGTAAAATTACTGTAAATTCCTTGTATAAAAGATAAAAAGACTCTGCAAAAATATGTAAATACTCATTCATCTATGTAATGCAGAAATTGTGTAGATTTCAGTTGTTCACTAATTTTATAAGCCATTGATGAAGCAATCATTGTTGAAATTTATTGAATCTTTTATAGTTTAAAATTCATGTGAAATTTATATTAAAGCAATTCAAAATTTGAAACATTGGCATCTTCAGTCATTTATCAACCAAATTTTTCTCCCTGTATCAAACTTTTTTTCATTTATAAGTCGGTTAACGGTGAAGATATCGTTTTAAAAACTTTATCAAGTGTCCGGAATTACATGGAGTTCTTTCTAAACCATGCCAAATTCCAAATAATTTCTTTTCCGAAAAAGCGAAACTTTTTTGCAAATCATAACTCATAAGTTATACAAAGCTTTGAGTCTCCAAAACTCCCTAAGTTCTCCGGAAATTAAAATCATAGGACTACTTGCAAAAATAAACTACTAGTTTAGACTTATTTCGGTAACAACATATTGCGCCATTATGTTCCCTGTTCTGATGGGTGCCTTCATGAATGAACATGTTCCGAATTGAAAAATGCAGTCACTTGTTTTAGCAATCTGAGTGATGACAACAAATAAGGGACCGAGAGAGAAAGAGAAAATGCATTTTATTTTGTAGATATCTTTTTGATTTCAGTAACTACTTGCACTTCCATTGTCTCATTTACCATGATAAAATATGGCTACCACTTTTATTTCCTTAAAAAAGGGGAATGATAGAGAACCAATATGCCACTGTTCATGACAGCGACAAAACTAAGTAGCCGTCGATTTGAAATCATAGGGCGAAACTGAGCAATTTTGCGATGATGGAAAATTTGAAGTACATCAAACTTTCACAAGTTGATGCGGTAATGTAGCATCGCGTCGATGATATTGGACTCCATGCTCAGCTATATATGAACTACATTTTGCAATTTGGAACTATACATAAGTGTTTTTCCAGAAGAGCCAGAATTTATAGTTCCAAACTGCAAAATGCAGTCAATATGTTCAATTGCTCGTCACGTCCAATATCTTGGACTTTATGCTCACTTTAACTAGGGATGATTTTTTCGAAAATCGAAGTGAGCATAGCGTCCAAAATTGTGAGATGTAGGTATTCTCTGACAATACACGAGCATAGGGTCCAAAAATGTATGAGGACAATTTTTGTGAAATAAAGGCGAAAAAATGTGTCCTCGAAAAAAATTGTGCGTTGCTTAGGTTAGGTTAGGTTAGGTAAGGTTAGCCCGCTCATGCGATTACACTAATCAGATGTGAAATCGGTCGCCGGGGCACCACCTCGCCTAATTACGTACTCTCTGCTGCTCTCCATGCTGGTAATATTATCTATGTCACTATCATGAAGAATAACTTGTTTCTACACAGCTAAGTTAAGTTAGTTCCAGTTAGATTAGATAAGATAGTTGTTACTCGTATAAACTATCACAAAGCGTCCATGAATTATTTAGAAAGTTCAAATTTTCATTTCTTGCAAAATTAACGCTTGGTTAAATGTGGCTGTCTTTAGTTATGCATGATTTTTATTGCTCCCAGGATGAACTCAGGAAATAAAGTTTCAGTATAGGGGCCATCGAAGGCAAATTTTTAACCGGAAAAAGTGAGCAAAAAACGGCATACTCTTCAACAGGAAATGTAATCAATTAAAAAGTCTGATGGGGCTCATGATTAAAATATTTCATAGTATCGCTGACAAAACCATAAAGTAAGGTTTTTTCTCTTCTTTTTATCCTCTGTAAGGCAATATAACAAGGCAGCACTGGACCTTAAATGTACCGTGAAAATTTTTAAAGGATACTTTTGCCACCTACAAAATGTCCTCGGAAGAGAACTTTTTGCTTAACATCCATAGTAAAAAACGATCAAATTGTTGAAGAGATTTACTTATTACTCAAGCGAGTGTCAAACGTATCGCTGAATAATATGATCACTCACTTGAGACTAGATGTCAGTGTCAACTCTCAAGATTCGTACTGAATCGATTACTCAATTTAAGCTAGAATATGTTTAAACAATGAGTGGTTTCAACAAACTTTATTAAAGCTTCTCTTTGGGTGGGAGGGAAAAAATTGTATGTA